TTTTTTTTTTTTTTTTTTTTTTTTTTTTTTTTTTTTTTTTTTTTTTTTTTTTTTTTTTTTTTTTGTATTTTTGTATTTTTGTATTTTGTATTTTTTGTATTTTGTGTATATTATTTGTTTTTAATATGCTGTGAACCGCCCTGAGTCCTATGGGAGAAGGGCGGTATACAAATTAAAATAATAATAATAATAATAATAAAATAAAAGTATGATTTATATTCTTTTGAAAGGAAGCATCAGATTTTTTTAAATATGTGCCAGTTTGTTCACAGAAAAAAATGACAATAAATGTTATCTTAGTATTATATCTTAACGTATAGCCTCTTGAATCTCTTGATAATCTACAATATTTTCTTAATAAAGCATAGTTTTGCCAGAACATTAAATCCTTTTGTTAATAAATGAATATGTGTATGTATGTATATGTTAATATATTTGAGGAAATATTTTTTAAAATTATTTATTGAATTTTTTTTACAGAATAAAAACAACACAAATTTAGAAAAAAAAACAGTAAAATGATCTTTTTTCCAAAATGTTTTTGAAGGTCAATCTGCACCCCCTAGTAGTGGGATCATGCTACCATGGTATTTTGCAATTGTTCCTTCACTACCTTCCTGTGGGGGGGATGGGGAGGAAATATTTGCACCATTTTAAAATAAATACTACAATGAATATTGATTGGAATGTGTGGTTTGTCTTTTACTATAAAAATGGTTTGGGGGCAAGATTGATTTTAGGAAAATGATAGAAGGTACTGATGAAAGTGAAACAGTAGATTTGGTAGATTTTTTTTTTTTAGGAATCATGGATCAGGAATGGGGAGTGATTAACAGAGGAAAGCTCACTGTTCCACTTCTAATTATTTCCCCACTTTGTCTGTCTACTGTTTTCCTAAAAAGGCTTTAACGGTCACCAAGGAGGTGAACTGTGTGCGCCATTTTATTCCAGAATGTGAGCCATTTCTTCAGCAACTGAAAAAACAGGAGGAAAAGGGTTTATTGTATGGGGTACCTATCAGCATCAAAGACCACATTGGATACAAGGTGATTCCATTTCTGTGATACATTGGTTTTCTAGAAATGGCAGACAAGGAGCAGCTGCTAAGAGAAGACCGCTAGATACCTTTCTAAGATATGTATTTGCTTATGGTATAGCCCCGTGGTGGCGAACCTATGGCACGTGTGCCACAGGTGGCACACAGAGCCCTCTCTGTGGGCACACGTGCCCTTGCCCCAGTCCTAGACCTTCAGCTGGATTTTATAAAACCTTTTCGCTTTAGGCCTCCGCCGCTGTGTGCAAAAAAAAAAAGGTTCAATCAATCAATTTCAACTTCTCGCGGGGAAAAAAAAGATCTTGCAAAGTTGGAATTGATTGAACTTTTTAGTCCCACCCAGCCTGCTGTTCCCACTGCAGCCACGCCCACCCAATGGGCCATGCCCACCCAATGGGTCACTCCCATCTGGCACCCGACGATACATAAGTGGGTTTTGGGTTGCAGTTTGGGCACTTGGTCTCTAAAAGGTTCGCCATCACTGGTATAGCCCTTTTATATTGGAAAGGGGATGGGAAACCATGGCTTACAGAAAAAACACAGCCCCCCAGAGCCTCTAGAATTGTATTGCCACATCTGGTTGCTGATTTATAGTGGTACAATTTTTGCTCACTTTTTAAAGCCCAAACTTTCAACTTTAATTAGCTGAAAGCCTAGACCAGGGCTTTTCAACCTTTTCACCCATTGTACCACTTTTAGGATATGGCAATATCCGAGTACCACCAGTTGCCTAGCAAGGCGTCAAAAACTTGATGACCAAAAAAAAAAAAAAAGGAAAAAAGTGATAAAGTACAGGTAGTCCTCGACTTACAACAGTTTGCTTAGTGACTGTTCGAAGTTACAATGGCACTGAAAAAAAGTGCCCCCCAAGGCACAACCGAGCAAGACGCCTGCCTGCCCACCCGGCAACGCTCTTCCTCCTGTCTGAGGTTTTCATTGTTGTGAGCATTTCTGTTGAGGTTTGGCAGTGGGGGTGGGGTGGTGTGGTGTTTGGTTTTTATTCCCCCTGTCTGCTGGGTGGTTGCAGCAGGTTTTGGTCACTTCACATGACCCTGGCACTCTGTGACTGTCATAAATATGAATCAGTTGCCAAGCATCTGAATGTAAATCACAAGACCCTGGAGATGCTGCAACATTCCAGCTGATTGGCGCTTCTTCTGGGCTCAGCAGAAGCACCAGGATCAGCACCGAGCTCCAGCTGGAGCCTGGCGCTGATCCTGGTGCTTCCGCTGAGCCCTGACAGTTCTGCAGCTCCAGCCATCTCTCGCTCAGTCTTGTGCAGTGCTGCCACCGGTTCAGCTCATTCCCCTCCCCTGCTACCACTTTTCTAGAATGCTCGCATACCACTTACCAGGTGCCAATGTACCACAGGTAGTACCTGTACCACTGGTTGAAAAGCCCTGGCCTAGACTATCTTGAATGTTTTATTTATTTCCTGAAACAGGGACCTCAAACATAGTTGTTTTTGCAATAGTGACGAATATCTGTAGCGCAGGTGTAGGATGAGGGAGAACGAACCTTCACCCTCATAGTTGTTGGTTTAAAAAAATTTTTTTTTTTTAAATCCTAGCAGAAGAGAAAAATGGGTAGAGGAAAGGAGGAAAAAAAGTAGAGGCTATTATTAGGTGTTAAGATAAAGAGTTGATCTACACCCGTTTCCTTAATATTTCCTTTACCTTTAGGGCCACTTGACAACATGTGGCTTTTCACATTTTCTTGATGTGGAAGGAGAGGACAGTGTGCTGGTTAAGGTATTAAAGAAGCAGGGAGCAAATCCATTTGTATTCACAAATGTGCCGCAATCTTTATTCAAGTAAGTTTCTATGGCCCAAATGTGAATTTTTTTCTTGTGTATAGCTACCGATCAGTCCTGTGTATTGATAAACTCTATCTCTTTGTCATGCAGTTGCTAAAAACATATACCTCTTTGTTATTTGTTCACAGTTTGTCTTGACTTGTTTTAGTCATGAATCTGAATATTAATCTGTAATGAATGCCTTTATGGATGATGTTTCAGTCCCTTGCCCAGATCTGAGTCTTGACTAAAAGGAATCCATATAATCATGCAATGGTGGCAATTTTGTTGATCTCATTTTGGAGGCACAGCAAGAAGAATGCTGTGGGAACAGATGTTTCTCAAGGCAGTGTGCTCTTCTCCCATCTTGAGTAGAGGAGACAAGCACACCACTGGAGATATGAAGAAAAGCCTTAGAGCAGGGGTCTCCAAATTTGGCTGCTTTAAGACTTGTGGACTTCAACTCCCAGAATTCCTCAGCCAGCATGGCTGGCTGAGGAATTCTGGGAATTGAAGTCCACAAGTCTTAAAGCGGCCAAATTTGGAGACCCCTGCCTTAGAGGAACTTTCAAAAACCAAGTATCTATGGTCGATTGTCATGTGTACTGTGTTCTTTTTTCTTCAAAACTTGATGAAGAAAAAGTAAAATTTCTGTTGTATTCCTACTACCTTATATCAAGAAAATATCCAGAATCAGAGTGATCCTAAGAGATGTAACTATCATTACTATGCGTCCATTTAAAGAGCCCAGAAACCTTTATATTTAGCCATGTTCAGCTGTCAGAATATGTTGAAGGAATGGTCTGTATTGTAGGAGTTGTCGTTTTGTAGAAATTGGGGGGTGTTCAGGTTTTTCTCTCTCTTTAATTACTCAGATGCCCTTAGGGTTCTTGCTTTCTGCTTCAAGTGTATTATAATCTGGTCAATTTGAAAAATCTGTTAAATCTTTTTGATATACGACTACTTTAGAGTAGAACATTATTTAGAACAGAGGTCCCCAACCTTTTGGGAAACAGGGACCGGTTACATGGAGAGAGGTTTTTCCATGGACCGGAGGGGGCGTGGTTTTGTGTACTGCCTGCATCCTGTGGATGGGGCTTTCCTTGTTTGTGTGGACCGGTTGCTGGCCCAGTACTAGTCCATGAACCAGGGTTTGGGGACTCCTGATTTAGAACATCAGAATTAGGGACCTCAGACTCATAATGCAGTAATAGAAGTTCCACTGAGTTTAATACATTTTAATTTTTGTAGATGGGTTAAAGATTGTATCTTCAGAAGAAACAATAGATTATAGATTTCCTATATTTTAAATATTGTGTTCCCACAATCTGATGTATTTCTATCATCTTTCAGCTATGACTGCAGCAATGTAGTTTTTGGGCAGACGGTGAATCCTTTAGATCATAAGAGAACTCCTGGGGGTTCATCTGGAGGGGAAGGGGCTCTAATTGCTGGAGGAGGTTCTGTCTTGGGATTTGGATCAGATGTGGGTGGAAGTATCCGTCTACCTTCCAGCTTCTGTGGTCTTTGTGGGCTGAAGCCAACCACAGGTAGATTGAGGTAAGTACTAAAGTTATCATAGACTATGCAACTGATTATCACACTTTGACAAGATTTAGAATTGTAGAGTTGGAAAAGACCTCAAAAATCATCTAACAGAATAATCTTCTGGGGTTGGAATGTTGTGGTTACAAAATCTCTAAAAAAATTGTTGTTGTTGTTAATTAATTTCTGCTGAAAAAACTGCTGAAGATATTGGTGATATTGGAGAAATTATGAAATAGCTTGATCAGTGTTCACAAATTTTTAGAAATGATACCATGGGCACTTTTCCTAGGGTGCTAGGGATATCCAATTTAAGTTTGAGATAATATTTCTCTAGCAAATGCTTTCATTCTAAGGAAATCAAGCACTAAACTTAGTAGCAGAGAACTCAACAACTTCAAGAGGTGTGGACATTAACATGTTGGCTGGGAATTCTGGGAGTTGAAGTCCACACATGTTTAAAGAAACAGCTCTAAACAAAGAACAGACACAGATATAAGCAAATATGTCTTGTACAAGAGCAACCATTGACATTTATCACTGAGTGATGATCCAGTTGACAGGGCCCTTCAAAAAGCCATTTGCTTAATTATTTTATTCATATATATTGTCTGCATTTTATATTTCTCTGTTTTACAGTGTTTCTGGAGTAAAGGAGCCTTTTCATCTTATGCTAAGTAAATAAAATCATCTTCTTTTTTGTGGAAAGTGGGAAAGGGGTGAGAGAGCAATTCTGAATGAATGTAAAAAGTGCCTGCCTGAGCTGAAGAACAATGGATATTGGGTACATAGTATTTGAAATATAAATATTAACAAGAAAAGTGGAAGCATAACATGATCTTTCAGAAAGAATGAATGTGGAGCAATTTAAACAAAGACATGATCATCAAAGCATGATCTTATTTTGAAATCTATTTTGCTGTTGATCAATAAATCCAAAACTGGATTAGCTATATACTATTACTTCATACATATATTCATCTTCTTAAGTTTTAGGGACAATAGGACCAATGGCAAAGGATGTGGATAGTCTTGCTCTATGCATGAGGGCTGTCTTATGTGATTACATGTTCCAGCTGGATCCCACTGTGCCACCCATTCCATTCAATCAAGAGGTAAATAAAAAACCAAAGGGTAGATATAGCACCTTTGCTGAACCCATAGTTGATGATTTTGACAGATACTATGAAATTTTTTTCAAAGAATTCCCCAAATAAAAAAGCATCTAAATATATATTTAGAAGAAACAGGATTATGACCCTATCCACGCTAAAAATATAACCCTCCCTCAAAAATAAAACAAGGCAAATAAAAAACACACTAATGGATTAAAAACCTGTATGCATACATGTTAGCTGAAGGACGTCTATTTAATTTCTCCTGGGAAAAATGTTATTAATATAGCAGATAAATAGTCACCAGTTTGAGAAAATATATCCCCCCTTTGTCATGTTTTTGAAAGCTCTTTTTGTTGTATCCATTTTTCAACCAGAACAATTTCTTCCATTAGAAATGTCACTAATTTGGTCAAAGAGGTGCTTAATTTTTAAACATTTCACAGTAACAAAGCTGGCAACTAATAAAAGACATTACACCAATTTCTTAATACTGCATCTACTTATATGCATTACAAAAAAAAGTTTAACTCAGAACAGGATTCATTGTTAAAGATTGTGAGATTTTCCAAATGTCTTCAGAAAGTTTCAATCAAAAGTATAGCTAACTGAACACAAAGATAGTAATATGAGCCAACTTGCTTATCACCCTGTCATCACCATCCAGAAAAATCACATATTAAAATTACATTAAAATTACATTACATTTAATTAGATTAAAATTACTTCACTTAAATTTCCTAATTTAAGAAGAATATAGTGCCACCTGAGAATTATTGTCATGGTCAATTCCTGTTAATTTGCTGAAACATATTTAGAAGTCTGGTCCATTGTTTTAAGTATCCCACCGCCCAAACCAGAGCACATGCAGTTCTATGAGTCTCTGCATGCCAGTGTGACATGGCATGCATAATAGTGTGACAATCACAACAATGTGGCTAACAAAAGTGCCATCACAGAGTTCATGCTATAGCTCTTAATCCATTAATGTTAGTAACAGAGAGGTTTTTTTCCCCCTAGATATATTCAAGCTCTACACCTCTACGGATTGGATATTATGACACAGATGGCTATTTCTTGCTCCCACCATGCATGAGAAGGGCTGTGCATGAAACCAGGAAGCTTCTGCAGGAAGCTGGCCATACAGTGTGTATCTTTGCTACTATTGTTTACAGTACAACCTATTTGCATGTTAAATAGTGGGTTATTTTTTGATACAGAATAGTCAGAGAGCTTCTATATCAGTGGTGGCGAACCTATGGCACGGGTGCCAGAGGCAGCACTCAGAGCCCTCTCTGTGGGCACGCGCGCCGTCGCCCCAATCCTAGGCCTTCAGCTGGGTTTTATAAAACCTTTTTGCTTTAGGCCTCTGCTGCCATGTGCAAAAAAAAAAAAAGGTTCAATCAGTCAATTTCAACCTTGCGGGGAAAAAAAAGATCTTGCAAAGTTGGAATTGATTGATTGAACTTTTTAGTCCCACCCAGTCTGCTGTTACCACCGCAGCCACGATCACCCAATTGGCCACGTCCACCCAATTGGCCACATCCAGCCAATGGGTCACACCCACCCGGCACTCGACGATGCATAAGTGGGTTTTGGGTTGCAGTTTGGGCACTCAGTCTCTAAAATGTTCGCCATCACTGTTCTATATGGAGGGATGGCAGCCAAGAAACTACACATTTTAGTTATGTGTGTAGAATGGTGTGGTTCCCTGACCATTTATTTGGTTGGGCCATAATCAGCTATCTCACTAATTATCTATGAACAGCAGCTGAGCGGTGGGGCTGGTAGGCTTTCAAGATGCAGTTGTGCAGGCTGATGTTGATCAGGGATTTATTGCTGTTTCATAAGAGCACCAAATCCTTGTTATAGAAAAGCTTGATTTTACAGCTGAATGTTCATGGGGGAAGGAGGCAGTTGCAAAGTGATGGGGGAAGGACCTTTCCCATAGAAGCAAGCAACTCCACATTGGCAGCTCTTAATGGGCTGCTTTTGAACATTGGCTTGATGCCAATGTCTTCTGAATTAGCAGAACAACCATGTTCAAAAGCAGCTAGAACAGTAAAAAGTCCATATTTAAAAATAACTAAAAAAACACACCTGCCAATGGAAGCATGTGCCAAAGTGGGATATCTTGTACGTCATTGTGTGATCTTTCCTCTACAGCCACTCAGCTGATTTTCAGAAAGGTGCTGGTGGTTTAGATGCCCCATATCCTCTTCAAGCCTGGAGACCTAAAGAATCAGCTCTCAGGATGGGAGATTCAGGGGCTAAGAAACTTGATGGGTAAAGAGTCATCTCTCCTCATTGCAACTGAATGGGGTGGCAAAAGATGGATATGATCTGCCACCCCTTCCAGTTCAGATTGTCTGGGAATCTGCTCTATGGGACTGTAGATCTAGCAAGAATACAGTTGTCTTCTTCTATTCTCTTGCCACACCTCTGGTCTCAAGAGGCTGATAGTGATGTCAGTTTCCCCTCCTTTTCTTACCACTTCTGGCAGCCATGCAATCAGTTGCCAGAAGTTTGGGCAAATCCTGGAGCAACTTCTAACAATTGCTACACCCTCTGGTTTATTTTTCAAAAATATTTTGCCTTTCTCTGGTCCAAATCCAACTCACCAGCTATTGGTTTGTTGACCAGAGGGAAACCATATCTGGGACTTCATCAATTTCCTTCCTTAATTGGCTCTTAATTGGACATCAGCATTTGGTGACATCGTTTCAATGGCAGGCTAGGAGGACACACATCAGCCAGGTTGCAGTTTTTAAGCTATTTCTTTTCTTTTTGTCAGTTGAAGAACTGGTGAATAGCATTAACTGAACCAAAGGGAGGAGCCCTTTGTGTGCATATGCTTGTATAGAGAAAGCCGTATCGAGTGGACAAATAGCATCCAGGAAAATAGTTAATCTAGATTTGTATTTAGTTTACATCTTGGAGTTTTAACTGAAAACCCCTTTGTTACCTGCAGCTAGTTCCCTTCGACCCATCTTCTGTGGACTATGTTATTGATGAAATTTATGTGAAAGGTGCTTTTGCAGATGGAGGCTCAAGTCTGTTGGCCTTGTTGTAAGTAGTTTGTTGGGGATGCTAGAGAACATTTAAAGAGCCAATAGCAAATAAGGATACTGCCCAATATTACTGTGTTCTCATTCAAACCACATTTTAAAATAAGGTCATTGTTTTCCAGGAGGTGATGGTAGTGTCATCATCATCACCATTTGCTTTATTATATCAATGAATTAGCAAGAAAGAAGTACCTATGTATTAATGTGATGTAACCTCCAGTTAGCAATCACTATAATAATAAAAATGGGAGAAAGGAAATAGAGGCTTTGAAGACATAAACAGAACAGTTCCAAATTTTTGACTCTTTTTTTCTTTGTTCTTTTGGAAAATAAACCAATTCAAATTTTAGTAGCATACCCAAACCCCTATGCTGTCAATAAGATGTAAATTTCTCCTTCCAGTGTAATATGACAATTGTTTTCACAAACCCCTGAAAAATACACAGTTGTTGATACTGTGATAGATTACTATGTTAGGAATACGGCAAAGACAAAACTGGTAGCATTTACCTGAATGAAGAGGTGATGCTGATATTCCCTCCTTCCACTATGTACCTAAAATAAAGTCTAACATTCCAGCCCAGGAGATATGATCTCCTTTTTCTTATTAAGGGGAAAATATATTGCCACTTGCATGACTATGTAATTTCCACATAGAGTGCCAGCTCCATATACTTTAAGTAAATGTTGGGAAGAAGGGCAAAGATTGCTGTTTTGGATGCCTGCTCTAAAACAGTCCTTGATAGCTTTAGTGTCCAATTTCCTCTGTAAAAAGTGGTCAACATCACTTCTTGCTACAGTAAATGATTGGGGTAAATACATTTGTATCCAAAGAGAGAAAATTTCCAATCTTTCTTTCCTTCTCTATTGCCTGTCAGTCAAAAAGATATAGTGGATCCAGCTTTGAAAGCTCAAGTGAAAATGCTTGCAATCCCAAAATTGGTGAAGAAAGTTTTGGCCAAGTTCACCAAGAGCTGGGTGAGTCTTATTCTCTCTGTGTGTACGGGGTCAAATTTGTTTTCCAAATTTGGGATAGAATTATTGTATTGTATTGTATGATACTGAAATAAATATGTCTTTAAACATATTTGCATTGTGAGCAGCAACATGGGGAGGGGCAAGGGGATCAGACTGATGGAATTGAGAAATTACAATGCAAGCCCCCATCCTTTCTGTGTTTATTGTGACATTACATACATGCCCCAAAGGGGCAATATGAAGTAATTCCTCAATACTCCAGTGACTGCCATTGATCATGAGAAACATAAATTTTTAATTGAATGCATTCTGAAGAAACTGATCAGCTGACCATTTCCCTAAGCCATTCATGATATTCCTTTTGGTAATTAAAATGATTGGAATTGATTGCCTATATAGACGAATGGCAGGTCTGCCAATTTTTATCATCCTAAGTCAGGGAAAGAGAAGATAGAGATCGTTGTCATTTGTTATATCTGGGTTTATTCTCAGTGACCACTGTAGGGTTTTTATCCCTCGCTAATGATTTTTTAAAAAATTATTATTATTAATATTTTAACAGGTCATTAGTTGCCCAAAACCATGTTTGTGAGTTGGGCAGTCTTAAAAATGAATTTAATTGATAAATAACTAAAAGAGCAGGCACAAAGTAGATTATCTATACCACCTCAAGCCTCCAAATGGTGAGAGCATGCAGAGAACCCATTCATCTGAAAAACAGAGTGCAAAGAATATCAGGCAGGTAGTGTCTGGTTGCAGAAGGATGAAAATCTCCACTCCATACAGAGTTGGAAGGGACCTTAGAGATCTTCTAGTCCAACCCCCTGCTTAGGCAGGAAATCCTATACTATAACCCTATACCAGACAAATGGTTGTCCAATCTCTTCTTAAAAACCTCCTGTGTTGGAGCACCCACAACTCCTGGAGACAAGTCATTCCACTGATTAATTGTTCAAGGAAAAGAGAGCATATTTTTATTGCCCCTCTTACATACTAACGGGGAGGGGTGGGTGGGTGGGTGGAAGAAAGTTGGATTGGGATACAAGGATGATGAACTTGTATGTGGGGAGCTACAGCTTGACACAGAAGCTAAGACACCAGAAGTGAGACATAAATTCTCACTAATGGGAATGGCCAGCTCTCTGCAGGACAACTCGTCACGGCCAACTTCCCATGGGACAACTCACGGCAGGACAATTTAACAGTTCTACTTAATTATTTAAAATAAATGCCTTATTTTAATTTTTGCCATTCACATTTCATGCTGTCCCTCCTTTTGCATCCTTTCTTTAATCGTTCTATTCCACTATTTCTTTGATATTAGTGAAACTCTTGTCCCACAGCAAGTCATCCTGCAGAGAGTTGGCTGTGGCAAGTTGGCCATGGTCAGTTGGCCGTGGCGAATTGTCATAGACCCTGGGAAATGGCCTATCCGTACTCCCTGCACAGCTGCAGTGTTAGAAAAAAATATGAAAATGCCATTATCAACTCATCTGCCCAAACCAACCAACCAACCAACCAACCAACCAACCAATAGTGAGACTGAACAGGTCCTGAGCTGTTTCTGAATTGTTGCAAAAACCCTACAATTAGATGGCCTCTAGTTTGATTAGTGCTCTGATAGCCAGCAGGTCTGTCCAGCTGGAATACCTGCTCCTCAGGACTTGTACATAATGGCCTCTTCAATTAGATATGAAATTGCAACTGTACAGTCATAATGTTGTGTATCTTCACCAGACCTTACACACAGTTTTTTTTTTTTAAAAAAAAATTCTGTATAGTTTTTAAACAAACTCTAATAGTACTAATGAATCTGGATTTTCACTCAATGCTGTTTTCTTTCAAGTTTCCCCGATTGGCTGGGCAGCTGAATGCGTTGTGTGGAGTAAGGTAATGGCAGAATTATATTCCTACAAATATACTGAAATGATACTTTTAGCTGATACACTATAAAAAGTTGGTGCCTTTATAGTTTGGCCCCTTCTCTCTCTTACTGAGATTGATCTTTAGAGTTTGCATTAGGAAAAAAAAGCAGTTCAGCAGTGTGGTTTTTAGGATTAATGTGAATAAGTTCACTACTTATGCACTATGTCCAAGTATTATTTTTTTTAAAAAAACAAACCCAGGTATTTTTTGCATTATGATGTGCCTTTTGATAATGGCAAGTTAGCCATTTCATTAGATTTTGATGTTTCATCAACTATAATTGATAAAATACATGAATATCTCACTGATTATGTGCCATCAAGTCATTTTCAATTCCTAGCAACCATGTAGATACTGTAGATGTTACCCATAACAATCTAATCTGGTCTTTCAGCAGTTCCAACATGGCACCCATTGTCATTGTAACTGAGTCCATTCATTTGGTCATCCTCTTCTCTTTTTCCTTCCACCTTTTCCAGCATTAGAGTCTTTGCCAGAGAGCTAGATTTCTCGTAACATGTCCAGATTAGGATAATTTGAGCTTGGTTATTTGCACCTCGAATGAGAACTCTGGGTTGATTAGATTGATGGTCCATTGGTTTGGGTTTTTGGCTGCCCAAAGTACCCTCAGGAGTTTTCTCCAAACTCAGAGCTCAAAAGCATCAATATTCTTCTTATTCTGTTTCTTCAAAATGATGATCTATGTGGCCCCAGTCTTGTCTTGCTTCCGGCACACATATGATCATCTTGATTATCCAACAGAGTTGCAGTTTCTTATATTTTAAGAAAGCTTGGCTTACATGTTCAATATTCTGTCTTTCAGGAATGTGAAGGACATGTGGAAGATCGATAATGAATTGATGGTAAAAACATTTTTTGTGAAAATAAAATTTAAAAATCATATGTTGATTGTATTTTTCCTATCTGGCAACAACCTGGGATAGCTTTCAGCACATTTCTAACTACTCAGCTACACTTTATCAAGCCTAGATTTTGTCAGGACTTTAACAACTATTGCTGTTTGGGCTCAGGTCTATCGTAAAAAGTTTATTGAGCATTGGAGAAAAAACAAGCTTGATGTTGTCCTGTGCCCTGTTCTGGGTCCTGCCTTCTTTCTTGGATATCCTTCAAAAATACTGGGTAAGCCTTACTGTGGCATAATGTATACCTTTTCATTACATTAAAAACAAATATTATCAAGTTTCAGGAGCATCCACCAACGTTTAATCTTGCACAGGTAGACAGACTAGGATTGCTTCCAAAGATAGTGGTTTTGCCATTCTCTTAGCAGAATAATTAATAACAATGGTCAGAATGATCTAGAAATTTTCACAATTCTTGTATGGAAATATAATGTAATTCTCACAGAGAGATTAAAATCTGGTTTCAGGCTAACTCTTCTGTCCATAGGATGACTAGAATAGCTCACCAAAGCATTGTTGTCCATTGTACACGTTCAAAACCCAGAAAAAAAATGGAACAGTCCAATTTTAGAAAGTTCTAAAAATTCTACCTTACCATAACTGAATTATGCCAGTAGAAGGATTTGGGAAAGGAGCTCCATGGGGAGGAGGTATCTAATTTCACCTAACTCTTTATTCTATGTTTTCATCTTCCTAGGTGCTATCTCTAGTACCATGCTGTACAATGCTTTGAACTTCCCTGCTGGAGTTGTACCAGTTACCACAGTTACAGAAGCAGATGAAGAAGAGATGGCACAGTACCAGGGACTGTATGGTGACTCCTGGGATAGGACCCTGAAAAAGGTTTGTATGAACTCAGGAGAGGTTATTATGGCAGAAATGTTTGCGGATCAGTGATGTTTGAGATGGTGAAGACCTTTGATTTCACAACAAAATTAATATCAGTTTTTGAAAATTATCTGCTACCATTAGATAAATAAATAAGGTTAACTAAACTTTCCTAAATTTTAATGAATTAATCTTTTTCCACCCAAAATTGCTAACAGTAGAGTTTAATTTAAGGATATGTTTGATCTAATATATCCTATTTAGCACTTCTTTTATAAGTAATATTCCCCAAAATTGGATGAGTATAGATGAATAATGTACATGAGGACATTATGGCATGAAAAGATATAATACCATATATTAGAACTATAGAAGATGACCCAACTGAGCCCGAGGAAGGGGTCAAATGTCTCATCAGTCTCGAGTCCCTTCGCACCAAGAGTCCAGCCCACTTTGAATTCCATTGATTCTTATCTACCACCAAATTGGCTTTGACTGTTAGTAGTTCAGATTCTTCTAGACCGCTTAAGCTTGCAATAAACCTTTATATTCATTTGAACTGCTTGGATTTCCTGATTTTCCCAGCGCTTGGCAACAACTAAACATTCATAATGATTGTACATTTTTTTTCTTGCACAAGTAGATGAACTACTGTATATTGCTTCCAAAATAAAAATGGTTTTGACCTTCTCTTACTGGAGTTTGGCAAAAACAATAATTTGAACATATTGTCAGATGTTGACTTAATATTGAAGGAAAATATTTTGGTATAAAGTATTGATCCTGAGAAACAAAATGTCATCAATCTAGTTAAAGAACAAATACCCTGAAAAAATTCAGAGGAAATTTTTTGGAAGAGAATGTTTTGGAGCAAATCTATTTTCAGCTGTAGAATATATGGATTGAAAATTCTCTTCTTGTTTTTAAAAGAGGGAGAAAAAATTCATATTGAGAATTGAAAGGGGAGAAAGGTTTAATCTAAGAATCCGGGATTATAACCGTTATGTTTTAGGGAAGGATATTTTTTTTATATTTTCCCCCAAGGCCAGGATTAAATCTTGCCAAAAAATGATCTAAATCCATTTAAAATAAAATATTTAAATATTTGGAGAAATATTTGGTTAAAAGCTTACCTATCCTGCTGAAGGTTAAGAGTTAGTGTGGGTTTTCACTTTTCTGTGTAGGCACTTAAGTCTTTTAGCTCTCATATTTTACATCTTTGGGATGACTGGCTTCCAAGGCAGCAGTTGTATGAAGGCATACAAGAGAAAGAATCAAATGATGTGAACAGTTTTATTAATGGTCTAACCTAGGAATCTGAGAAATTAAGGTTGCAGTCCTTTGAAAACGTACCTGAGGCCATTTGCCACTTGGAGGGAGACAGGAGACTTATTTCAAGGATACCTGCTCAAGATCACTTTACAGTAATAAAAAAAGGCTTGGACCTTTGGACCGGGGATATCTGAATGACTTTGCTCTTTTACTATCTCTTTCAGGCAGTAGAAGGTGCTGTTGGCCTTCCTGTGGCAGTTCAATGTGTAGCTTTACCATGGCAGGAGGAATTATGCCTTCGGTTCATGAAAGAAGTTGAGATGCTGTCCAACAAAGAGCAACAGAAGAAATTCATCTGAATCTGACAAGCAATTTGTAGATCAAGGATGCATCTGGACTTATAAAAATGATAGAATATCAAGGAATGTTTGATCCCGCAATATTCATTGTTCTGTCAAAGCGTCACTTTTTGTACCAGTTATCCATGTCTGCAAACAGCTGTGAAAGATTGGTCCTCTTTTTTTTGTATTTTATGTGACCAATTGAGGCATTTCTCTTTCTCCTCATTCACCGTTACAGGAGATAGCTGGGTGGACATTCATGCTTTCTGTCTTTTACCATATTCCTATCCTTCATCTCCACTGCATAGAAAAAATAATGAAATTAGAAGATTTTCCTTGCAACATAAAGTATACCAAGATCAAATTGTACATTGGTTAGAAGTCTTTGCTTGATTTGTGTAGGCTTGTTGAATAATTGAGAACCCAGACAGCCAAGGTTCTAAGTCAGAGAGGGAGACTATATGAGTTTAGAAGGTTTCACTTCAGGATATTTTTTCTGACCAACAGAGGGAATCTGCTCTCGGTTAGTTGTATATGCATGAGGTTCAACATTGCTACAGTATGTGATGTTATTTAGTATCCTATTTGTGAAATCCTTGGTGTTCTCTTAACTTGGTTGTTTGCTTCCAGACATTTCATTACCTGACTAGGTAACATCATCAGTGATAGTGAATGTGAGATCTGCCTCCTATTATGCAGTATAGAGTAGTTTTTCCAGGTAGTATTGGTGAAGTATGGTTTTCTCTCTGGTAGTTCCTTGATTAGGGTATTGTTTTCTGCTTCATTGTTTGTGAGGTGTTAATCCTTTCTTATTTGGGGGCAAGCTGCTAGAGAGGATGTATTCCGGTCTTTTTGTTTCCTTCTTAATTGTTTATTATCTCTTTTGAATGGTATGTAAAATTGGTTTATTTCTATGTGTCTATTGATGTCTGATTTGGCTAAATGCCATGCTTTCAGGAATTCAGTAGCATTTTTGAATTTTAAATTTGGGGTAATATAACTTCCGCTGAATGACTGAGAAATTTATTTTCCAATTCCAATACTCTCCCGAGCACCCTCACTAATATTAAGCGCAAGGGTCCAATCCAGTTACTAACTTGGAATATTACTAGCCAAAGTAACAGATGGGGACCTGGTAGAGTTCCTCTCTAATCTTGACTTCATAGCACTCCAAGAGACATGGGTGACTACAAATGAGGAAAAGATTAATTTAGATCCTGGTATATTCCTGCAAGGGAATATAAGACTAAAGAGCGGGCATCAGGAGGACTGACTATAATTGCCAAGCAAAGTTGGGCTAGCAAGGACTACAATCAGTTCCTAGAGATGACTCTCCCAATTATTTAGCTATAAAATTTTCATATAAATGTTCTAAAACAGTTCTGCTAAATATATCTGCCACCCCACATGCCTCCCCCGTTTTTTTCCTAATATTTGGGTGAATCTAGAAAAGACAATGTTAAAGATAAAGTCAAATCATCCTAAAACCATATAATTTTAGCAGAAGAGTTAAGGGCCAAGATGGGGTCCCTCCTTACACAATGTTGTACAACTCGGAGTTATTCCTGAGGATTATCTTATCAATGATCCATTCTGGCTTTCTAGAGACCCCACATGAAATGCAGTGGACTGACAACTGGTGTCCTTGATCAATAACTGTAACCTCCATAGTTTAGGAGGTAAAGAACCTGGTTTTATATATCCTTTTACATATTATTCATGATTTTAGACTATCTATGTTTACATGAAACAAGACAGGGCTGTCTTCAGACATCTAAGTACATGTGAAGGAGATAGCGATCATCAATCATAGTCCATTTCCAAGCCAAATCGGATACTAATTTATCTGTATCTCACAATAAAAGATTATTAGCTAATCTCAAAGTCAGGCAGAATAGAAGGCTCAATTAGGCCAAGGAAGACACTAAGGCAATATCCTGAATTTCTGAACTCTGAACAGGCTCATTGGAGAAACTCAGTTTCCTTCTGTATCCAAGGTCTGAATAAAATCCTCACTCAATATATTGATCTATGAATTTCACTGAAAAAAATGTAACAGATAAACTTCCCACTAGAAACTGACAGCAAATAAGTTCAACTTGAGGTTATTCTGTTTACAGCAATGCACTACCATTAAAAAAAACTATGCTAAAATATTAAATATTACATTGATTACAAGACACTGATTGTTGTTGTTAGTTGCGAGGTCATGTCCGACCCATCGCGACCCCATGGACAACGTTCCTCCAGGCCTTCCTGTCCTCTACCATCTTCTGGAGACACTGATAGCCTCTGAAAAAGTTTCTTTCACAGGCAAAATATGGCCAGATCTGGAATTTTCAGCAAAAGGGGTAAATTCAGTTTTCTTCTGGAATATTACATCAGGTTTATTGAAGGAACATAAATTCTAATTCAATATTCCCATTCCAGCTTCAGTTTGGGAGGATTTTTATGCAGCTCTATTTGCTATTATTCCTAACCAGGGCCTCCCATATAAGCAAATTACGGATACTTTAACCTTTGAAAACCTTCCTCCCTGGTCTCAGGTGTTAGTTTCAAAAACCAAATTTATTATTCAATCTCTGAAATCTGGTGTGGCTCTGGAGAAGTTTTTCTACCCCTGGAACTCTTTAAAATACACTTTGATTGGTGGCCCTATTGTTAGCAGGGCTGTTCTCCCCTATAAATAATTTGAGTTGAATATCATGAAGGATTTGCCCACAATCTAGATCTTTCCTGGGGCAAAGACACTCTCTTTATGTGCATTATAGTAGGCTTACTTTTGCAAAGCCCATCATCTTTGAATCAGAATGCAGATTTGTACTTGGCCAAGTGCAAAACGCATACTATTGTCACACTGATCTAAACTGAAAATAGGTGAAAAGCCTTGATTACAATGCTGACTTGCCTTTTGCTCTATTTTGATATTAATATCAGGTCTCTGTTCATCTGTGATATAGTATTATATCTAACGCTCCTGAGAAGTTGGAAATTCAGATGAAGACTTCATAGTGTATTAAGCAATGGCACACTATCAGTTGAGAAAGACCAGTGACAAAATGTGTCTTTTTCCAGTAGTTCTACAAATTCTTTTGGGATCTATTATTGGTACAAGTACCATCCATTTTAACATTGTTTGTCCAATGATCATGGGGAAATGTCAAGGCCTGCATGAAAGGAAGGGAGTGAGGGAGGTATACATATTATTTGGATGACTTGGCTTGGAAATGATACATTTAGTGTGGATTTGGATGTTCAAACGGATCACAAAGACTGGATTCAACTGCACAACTTGGAAATTCACTGGGTGACTTTGGATCAATCACTACTTCTCAACTCAATCTATCTCAAAAGAGTTGTTATAACAATTGAAATGCTATATATACTGTTTTGTGTTTCAGGAGAAAGAAAGGATATATAATCTAATAAATAGGGATTATTTATTCATATTGCAATTTGCTTTTATAGGCCTCCAGTGTATTGAATGGAGGAAAACTGAAAATTGGGCAGAAACATGATCAGATAGGAACTGAAGAAGGGATGGTAGGCTTGCTGCAGATATGTAAAACTGGGAGGAAAAGTCCTTGTTCTATAAAGCCATGCCATTGTTTCACAAAAAGTTGTAATTCCAGAAAAGAATGTTGTATTAGCAGCAAACTGAGCAAATACATTTAGCTGAATTGTAGTGAGCTTTAGGAACCTAAAAAACTGGTCCAAGAAAAAGAATGTGTGGACTTCAGCCTGTCTTAATCGATGCCAAGAGTTATTCATTTTCAAACTTAAAACCACTTGACAATTAATATATTGCTAAATTGCTGAACAACTGAGAAACATACTCTCACCTCTGCTCAGGGAAGATTAGGAAATGTTTATTTTTATTAATACATTTGGACTAGAATAATATCATACCCAAGTATACAATCACATGTCCGATTTTTCTGTTCATGCATGTACATAATTGCCAGAGAAAATCAATTCCTCAAATGTTTCCTATCTGTTCCATCCACAGACACTCTGATTCCAAAAGCACGTCAAAAACTTCAACTTCATTATTTCAGACCTGGTACATTTTTATATCTATTGTGTTAGAATGGCACTGAACATTTTAATGAAAAGTGTGTGAAGCTTAACCCTATAATTATTGTTNATTGTTTCCTTGATTTTTCCCCGGTTAGCTTCTCCACTTCTTTCATGAGCCGGAGACAGAGCTCTTCTTGCCAGGGCAGAGCCACACACTGGACAGCCACAGGGAGCCCCACAGATTCTTTCACTGCCTGCAAGGACAGCATAAAGAAAGCAGTTTTTTTACAGCAAGCGTCAAATACAGATAGTCCTCGAGATAAGGATGATCACTTAATGACCGTTGAAGTTACAACACATCTCCTGTAAGCTACTTACAACCCACTTTCGAACTTACAGCTGCTGCAGCAACCCTACAGTCATTAGCTCTTACGACTGACTGCAGGGACTCTACAGCATCCCCCCATTTCTCTCTCTCTCCCCCATCCTGTTCCCCTGGGACCCTGTAGGCCTTGGACTACTCCCCCACATCTATCACACCCTTATCTTTTATAGTTCTCTGAGCCTCATGTTGGGGGGAAAAGGACAGGCCACGTGTTTCCGGCCATATGGCTGTCCTTCAGAAGGTATTGCCATTTTCAGCTTGCCCACAGTTCCTTGTGGTGACACAAAATGTGGGTGTTTCAGGGTTGGAGAAGGCCTTGGGAGACCCAGGGCAGTGTCAGAACCCATACAGTATTAATGGGGACTCTTTTCTATTTCTTTTTACTTCACTGCTCTGGGTTCTGCCATACTCCTGAAGGGGAGGGGGGAAGACATTGCGTGCTGTCTCTTTGTTTTTTTATCCCTTCTGCTGTTTCTGCATATTTGCTCTTTGAACTGTCTCTCCCTTGATGTTACCTTGGGGTGACATCTGGCTTATGTTGGAAGGGAAGGTGTGAAGACCCAACAACATCGCTGCAAGCCTGGGAAAGACTGGTGTTATCAGCTCTTTTCCCACAACAGACTTAACACCTGAGGATTGGCCCATTCAAACTGACCGGAGGAACTATTGGGCTGAGGTTTGCTTTTAACCTATGGATCTGAGCAGAAAAACCCTCAGATCCTGCCTATCATGCCTGCTATCAGCTTCTCCTAATAAAAGTTCCTTTTGGAAGAAACTGCTTCCACGAGTTCTGCTTTCTTAGGATGAGGTTTTGAAGTGGGCCCTGACAGACAGTCCTCCATACCTAAAGCACACCGTGCTCCACTTAACAACCTGCCTTTTTGTTTAACAACCGCATCAGAGAGAACAGGGGGAGGCAGTTGTTAAGTGAGGCCATCTCGCTTCATGGCCATCATGACATGTGACCATAATGGACAGGCTCCCCTGTGGTCGAATCTTGAGGATTACCTATAAATTCTGCTAGGCACTGTCATGAGGCAAAGCCAAGTACCTTTGCAAAGAGTTTGTCCCCCAAATCATTGTAGTGTCCTTTGAAATTCTTTAGCTCCTCTTCGTCCTCCTTTGTCACTGTTGTAACTGGTACCACCCCAGCAGGGAAGTCCAACAAGTTATATAATATGTTATAACTAATGACCTCTGTACAGACAAAAAACACAGGGCACATTAAATGGCTACCCAGCTCTCTTGAGCAACTTGCAATGATTAACAGTACAAGGAAGACAGTACTTCATAACTCTGATCACACATATCTCCTCCCCACTCTACAGATGAGAAAATTATTTGAAAAAGCTGAAGCCAATCTCAAGCAACTAAAAATGTTCAGACACAGAAGGTTTCGTGTTTACAGTGTTATGTGCTGTCTGTAACTTTCTGCTCTTTAAAAGGACACTCAAAACAATTGTATTCTAGAGGCTATATGGATGCTGATGATCATTTGACTACCTTAGAAACTGTATTGTTAAATTAGATTCCCAAAGTCTACAATCTATTTAAGAAGAATTTTAGAAATACTGTCTGCCCTGTCACAAAAATTGTAGTTATGTATTCTCAGAAGAATGAACGGGTATTAGTTTGTGAAGGCTGATCGAATGAAAACTGCCATCCATCAGCCTTTAAATTGGCCCTTTATTGATGGAAAAGCAAGATCCAACATTATGATTCCATAAGGAATGATTTGGCAATCCCTAGACAAAGTTTTTGTCTAAGTGTACAGAGAACTAGACAGACATTTTAAAAAGCAGCTATATAATTACCTCTTATAAATTGTTACTGAGATAAGCTGCTCAGTATCAACATGAAACATGCCACATGAACTCTTTTGCTTGCAGGGAGGGAAAAAGTATTTGATCCCCTGCTGATTTTGTACATTTGTCCACTGACAAAGAAATGATCGGTCTATAATTTTAATGGTAGGTTTATTTTAACAGTGAGAGACAGAATAACAACAAAAATATCCAGAAAAATGCATTTCAAAAAAGTTATAAATTGATCTGCATTTTAATGAGTGAAATAAATATTCGCTCCTCTATGAATCACCAAGATTTCTGGCTCCCAGGTCTCTTTTATACAGGTAGCGAGCTGAGATTAGGAGCACTCACTTAAAGGGAGTGCTCCTAATCTCAGCTTGTTACCTGTATAAAAGACACCTGTCCACAGAAGCAATCAATCAATCAGATTCCAAACTCTCCAGCGTCCACAAGGTCCTCCTGCTCAAGAAAGCACATGTATAGGCCCGTCTGAAGTTTGCCAATGAACATCTGAATGATTCAGAGGAGAACTAGGTGTAAGTGTTGTGGTCAGATGAGACCAAAATTGAGCTCTTGGGCATCAACTCAACTTGCTGTGTTAGGAGGAGGAGGAATGCTGCATGTGACCCCAAGAACACAATCTCCACCATCAAACATGGAAGTGGAAACATTATGCTTTGGGGGTGTTTTTCTGCTAAGGGGACAGGACAACTTCACCGCATCAAAGGACGATGGACGGGGCCATGTACCGTCAAAACCTGGGTGAGAACCTCCTTCCCTCAGCCAGGGCATTGAAAATGGGTCGTGGATGGGTATTCCAGCATGGCAATGACCCAAGACACAAGGCCAAGGCAACAAAGGAGTGGCTCAAGAAGAAGCACATTAAGGTCTTGGAGTGGCCTAGCCAATCTCCAGACCTTAATCCCATAGAAAATCTGTGGAGGGAGCTGAAGATTCGAGCTGCCAAATGTCAGCCTTGAAACCTTAATGACTTGGAAAGGATCTGCAAGGAGGAGTGGGACAAAATCCCTCCTGAGATGTGTACAAACCTGGTGGCCAACTACAAGAAATATCTGACCTCTGTGATTGCCAACAAAGGTTTTGCCACCAAATACTAAGACATGTTTTACAAAGGGGTCAAATACTTCTTTCACTCATTAAAATGCAAATCAATTTATAACTTTTTTGAAATGCATTTTTCTGGATTTTTTTGTTGTTATTCTGTCTCTCACTGCTAATATAAATCTACCATTAAAATTATAGACTGATCATTTCTTTGTCACTGGACAAATGTACAAAACCAGCAGGGGATCAAATACTTTTTTTCCCTCACTGTATAAGCCAGGATAGAATGTGGCAAGATCCATAACAGGAATATATTAGGATTGTGAAATGCTTCAGATTCAAAACTGCAAGCACCTTAAAGCAGCCACCCCTTTTCCTAGGCACAGTACCGCCATAGAAAAAGGTGCATTTGGTTCAAAGAATTGCAAACAAGCATCATATTTGTACCCCCTCTGCATCACCCCATGAATTTTTTGTCCAACATCAAAGCACATCACAGCCCTAAGATTTACTCACATCTGGTTGAAAAAGAATAGGACGCACCATGGGATCTAAAGGATAACAATGTGCTTTTTAAAACTCAGTTTTCCAAGTTTTTTTTTTTTTAAGTACCTGGTAGTCTTCCAGAAGACCCACTCTTAAAAGCAGGACCTATAGCAGGACAAAGCAGTACATCCAGTTCCAGTTGTTTCCATTCTTCAGTGAATTCTCTGCAGTATTCCTAATGATAAGAGAGGGATTTACATATCACGGCTACCTTTATTCTTCAATGAATAAAACCTGGCATCCAGAAATACAGCGGCATCTGGTAAGGGCAAGAGGACAGATAGCACAGCAAAGGTTTTGAGTTGCTATTCTTTGAGCAACGACTTTATGAATGAACACCATGTATCCGGTCTCCTGGGAATTAAGTGTAAATGTATTTTCTTTCTTTCAACCCTTAAATCAGACTGTTTTAAAATGTAAAATAGCTTCCTTAGATTTGAATTGTTAATTGAGGATCTTAAAGCAAAAATCTACCTGATCCCAAGCTTCCCTTCTGAAAATACTGAGTCCAAAATTTGGTCTTTTTCTCCCCATCTCCACAGTAAAAGACTTACTGCACTGTGCCACTGGATAGAACCCCCCCCCCCCAATATTACCAACTCAACAGTGGATTCCCTTACAAGAAATGCTAAATTTAATAAGGCAGGGAATGGCCTCAGTGTGATAACCTGAGAGAGATGAGGCTACCAGATGAACCCATGGCCTGACTTGCAATACAATAGCATTTTATGCTCTTTTTCTAGAACAAAAAATATTTTCCTGATTTAACGTGCAACTAGGAAACACATGGTGTTACCAAATAAGTATTTATCCAATACATTCTTGAGAATGCTAAACTGTGCAGGTAGTAATTGTTTAATGACTGCTCTGTTTAGCAACTATTCACAATTGCAACCTATAAGTACAAAATTATACTTATAGCTCTTGTAGAATCTCAAAAGCCACGTAATCAAACTTCAATTGTTCTGCAATTGGAAAACTGGCAGGCATTTGTGACAGTCACAGTGTCCTGTGGTCACACAATTGTCATTTGCGCCCTTCAGAGTTGGCTTCCAACAAGCAGAGTCAATGGGGAAGCCAGCACTGAAATTATAAGTCACGGCCATTTGATGTCTTAGTTAACCACTTGGGGTGATTCACTTATCAACCACAGTGGGGATGATGAAAGTCCAGCTCATCCATGTGATCTTTCGGTTAACGACTATGCCACTTAAGTCATGGAGTTTCTGGTCCCAGTAGTGGTTGTAAAGTGAAGACTATCTGTATTTCTGTCACACAGAAAATTTCATTGAGCAACAACATGAGTATAAGAAAAATAAACAGGTCTATCTATGTAGCTGTATAGTAAGACACGAGAAATGCGCAAGTTATAATCTCATCCTCTATTTCAGCTTCTGCTCTTCCCCTGCAAAAGATATTCTGCAGACACCACAAATCTTTGTTCACAAGCATCTGATATCCAACTTAAAACAATTATTTAAAGGAAAGAATAGTTTCCCAAACAGGAAATGTCTGTTTTTCATTTTGAAATATCCACAAAGGCAGCATTCGCAACAAGGCCATCTTTACTGATTTAACATCCTCCAAATATATTGGATTTTAGTTTCCAACACCCCTATTCAAAAATGGCCAATGGCTAAAGAGAAAGGGAGGTAGAGAAGTCTAACATAACTGGGAGGCATCAGACTATAGAAGAATGATCTCAAGACTTACTGGGTTTTCCTAGTATGTAATACTTTTTTAATGGTTGCTTTAAATCTGTGGTCTGAAGTTGAAAAAGACCATGCTATTTTCTCTAATGCCTCAGAAAATAGTTACACATACAAGATTTTTATGCAGTTTGGACAGATTCTAAAAGAAAATTTACCTCAGTTTCCACGTGGTCTTTCCAGAGTTCTTTTACAGACCTAAAAAGTCAAAGAAAATAAATGAACTGCAGATGCATGGAATTGGTTGCCTATGTTCATGACCTGTAATAGCTTTCCCCAACCTGGGGTTATACAGCTATGCTGACTTAATTCCTCTGGGCAGAAGTCTGATTAGGCACTGGACTAGGGGAACATTTTGTATATTAATGTCAGTAAAGCTATCACTTTAACTGTTCCTGAGATCATCAATATGGAGATCAAGAAATATTTGTAAAAAGCATCAGTGGAAAGAAAATGTAATTTTTAAAAAAATCTCTTCTGGTAAACATAAATCCTCCTATACTATATATATATCTTTTTTTTTCTTTTTTTGCTATTAGCCCAAATTACTTCCCCCTGTAAGTTGGTATGAGAAGGGGAATGACTGAAAAAAAATCAAACTAAGAATGGATTAAGCAGTATTCCCCAACCCACAATGCTCTCCTTCAGCCCATATTTAGCCTATAAAGTCAAAAATTCTGCTTGGTTAAAAGCATATTTATCACTAATTCCATCCAAACAGGATCTATAAAATCAGGAAGCAAAAAATCCACCTGCTTACTTTACTACAAAGGCAACATTAAGAGATGAAGGCTTTAATCTCCCACCAAAAATATTTACCTTTCATACAGGTTGCTCAAACCTATTGACCGACGAATAGCCTAAGGAAAAATAAATGAAAAATGCCCTATTTGGGGTTGATGTAAAAATAAGTGCTAAAGACTTATAGTACAGGAAACACTTCGAATGAAACACAACTAGCCCAAAAAGACCAACCTATTTCTTTAGCCTTCCCCGGCTGGGGAACAATAGTCCCAACCCATTTGAAAGGGTGAAGATAAAGGAGGCTCAATTGTTTCAGTGCAGCCTGATATAACTTACATCACTTTAATATGTAGTCCTTATATTAATTATGAGAATGCCAAAGCTAGAATATTGACAATTGGTGTAGGGTAGTGGTTAAAATCACAAGACTAGAACTATGGAGACTCAGGTTTCAGTCCACCATCAGCCATGGAAACTGGGAGACAAAAGGCAGTGACTGGGAGATCAGACAGGTTCCTGGTGTGACTAGCTGACAACTCTGTCATCCAAAAGGTGGAGCAGGGAACGAGAAGGTCAGCTATATTTGAACTTAATTCTTAGTGATAGGGATGACATGTTTGAGGGAGTGGAAATATAGGAACTTTCTGTCACATTAGAACTCGCCAATTACAGAGACACAGATAACTGAACATAGGTTGAGAAACCCTGTTCCAGGTAAATAAAGATAGATGTAACTTACTATTGGGCTGATAATCCAGGCTAGGAATCTTCGTATCCAATAAGGTAATTTTAGTATCAGCAGGGTACTCTTTAGATTTGGATCTATGGGTTCACCTTCACTGAAAGGCAACCAAGACAATCCAAGTAAATAAATAAAATGCTAAGGTAATTTTCAAAATGGATGCTATCTTTAGACATCAGCTATCACTGCTGGCATCCAGAAATGTCTGTTTGCCATGTGAATTAGCAATTCTGATTAATCTGTAAACCAAGAGAAAAATCCTACTAAATCAGACATGTAGGTGGTCCTTCAGTCAAAACCGTTTATTTAACGACAGTCTAGAATTACAGAGGGTTTTGAAAAGGGTGTTTTACGGCCAATAAAGCTTTTCCAGCAATCATAAAATGTTGCGCTATCACTCCGCAGTCACGTGATCGCAATCTGTATACTTGGTAGAAGTGGGCTTTATGTAGAATCTTACTTCTCTCCATTGTGAAAGGTATCCATTTATTCTAACCTTCATCCTAAACTTTTTTTTAACCAATTACTGATTTATAGAAGGACCTCTTAACTCATTACTTGTAAATTTCTTCAAGGATTTTCAATGAGGCATTTTTATCAAGAGCTTTTTGGGAAGTTCAACCATAATAACCTGGTGTTCTGTCAGATCCTAGTATAAATATAAGCTACAGCAGCTCAGTTCATCTATCACACTAACCCAAAATAAAACAAACTGCTATACATTATGGGTTAAAATGATCCATCCAATGTCTATTAAATGCCCAATCAACATGTTTGGGGTGCTCTCCAAATCATTTTAGAGGGATAACAAGGCAGGCCTTTTCTACAGAAAAAAACCCTATCCAATTCTTCAACAATGCTTTCACTTCTGCACATTTAATTGTATTAATTATATTTCAATTTTCCTATGCAAGATAGACATTAAAATTAACTCACTGTCAATTTTGGCAGCTCCCAGGAGCCATTTTTTTTTCAAAAAGTTATTGCAATTTTCTTCCAACCCCAACTAAGAAATTGACTTCAATTACAAACTGCATAAAGCTGTCACATACTGAAATTCGTTAAGGACTCTTTATTTTGTGCTGGCTCCATGTCTTTCCACTTTTAAAAGGCACATTCTAAAAATGTCCATAAAATGGTTCAAGCTTTTAAACAGGTTGTTCATCTGTAGTGAAAACTGATTTGAATAAATTAAGTCTCTCCTGGGCTGATTTCTTGGTTCTGTTATACTGAAAGCTTTTTTTATTTGAACTTATTTTAGTTTAATAATAATAATAATAACAATAACAACAACAGCAACAACAACTTTATTGTCACTTTGAATGTACACCTAATGTAGTAAAATGAACAATTATTAGAATAATGATTTGTCTGCAATAATGATGTGTCTGCATAATTGCTAGAACAATGATGTAATGCATAATCACTGGGAAAATTCACTGGGAAAGTTCTGTGTCAGTAATATGTGGTTAACCAAATGCGCATTGCACATGGATACTTTGTATGTAGCAAAACCTTCCATTGTATGCCCGTGAGAAACGATCCAAATGTATTACAGTGTATTAACATGTGTAGTCCCTTTGTTCCTGAAAGAAGGGTAGTATAAAAACTGAAGTCTAATCCCGCCCTCCTCGTTCAGAATTGCCTATCTCTAATATGCCTCTGAACCTGCGCAATAAACCTCTCTGCTAAACCCCTCTGGAATTCGTAAGAGTTCTTTCGTTTTCCACAAGACACCAATCGGCATACATCAAAATGAAATTTCGTTGCATACAGCTCTCAAAGGGCCACCACCTCCAATATACACTCCTTCTTTGTGGCCAGCTCAAGTTTCAGATCGTCCATTTTTGTCTCTAGGGAGCGAACGATGGCAAACAGGACAGATGGAAAAGGAGCTCCATGTGGATTAGCCCTCAAATCAGCTTGTATTCCTGCATGACAACCTCGCCTCCTTTCCTTTTTCTGATCCTGACTCTTCCACCTTTTCCTTAAAGAGGCCTTGCTTCTTTTCGCCCCTGGAGCACGCTGCCGCCGCCACCAACTCCTCCAAAAGCCTCTCTCTCTTCCTCTGGGCCTGCCGACAGCCTCATCCAGTTCCTTCGCTTCATAAGCCCTATGACCTCTCCTCCTCTGCCTCCTTTGGAAACAGCCCTGATTTGCAATAGAATCCGTCGCTAGGCCAGCAGTCAGATCTTGCTGCTGGCAGAAAAAATTCAAACAGCGCTAACGACTTTTAACGGTCTCACCAACGGTTCCGAAACAGCTAGAAACTCGCCATGCCAGCAAAGATTGTCGGTGTCGTATGTTACCTTACCTTACTTCCACCATGTTGCTCATGTGGCCTATATCCCTTAATATCCTTCCCAAAATTATTCACCTTCGAGAGCCAATGGAGCCACAGCCGATCCAGGTGCCGCCATCTTAGAACTGTCTATCTAGACCCATACCAGTCGGGTTTCAGGCCGGGGCACAGCACGGAAACAGCATTGGTCGCGTTGGTCAATGATCTCTGGAGGGCCCGGGACAGAGGGCATTCCTCTGTCCTTGTTCTTTTGGACCTCTCAGCGGCTTTTGATACCGTAGACCACGGTATCATGCTGCGGCGTCTCGGTGAGTTGGGAGTCGGAGGCACCGTTATGCGGTGGTTCTCCTCCTTCCTCACCGACCGTACGCAGTCTGTAT